GTCCAGCTGCGCGAGTCGCAAGCTGCCGCCGCCGCCGCCGCCGCCGCGCGTTCGGCCGCGGCTTCCGCCTCGAGCCAAGGCGGAGCCAAGCGCGGTGGTGCGGCCAAGAAGAAGGGCGGCGCGATGCCGCCGCCGCCGCCGCGCAGGCCCGCGCATGCCCTGGCGCCCAGCCGGCCGCCGCCCGAGGGGGACGCCGCCGCCACGGACGGCGGCAGCGACGACGATGAGGTTGGCCCGCCGCTGCCGCCAGGCTTTGGCGGCGGCGGAGACGGCGGGAGCGGGGGCGGAGGGGGCGGCGGCGGGAGCGGAGGCGGAGGCGGAGGGAGCGGAGGCGGTGGGAGCGGAGGCGGTGGGAGCGGAGGCGGAGGAGGGAGCGACGAGAGCGACGACGAGGAGGTCGGCCCGCCGGTGCCTCCAGGCTTTGAAGGCGGAGGCGGAGGAGGAGGAGGAGGAGGCGAGGCGGGCCCGTCCGCGCCGCCGCCAGCCGACGATGACTTTGGGCCTCAGCTGCCGCCCGGGGTGGCTGCTGCTGCTGCGGCGGCGGCGGCGGCGGAGGAGGAGGAGGAGGAGGCTGATTTTGGGCCTCAGCTGCCTCCGGGGCGCGGGGCGGGGCGCGGGGCGGGGCATGCGGACGGGTACGACCCAGAGGCCCTCAGCCAGCAGGTCTTCGATGCCGTCCCGCTGTGAACAGCGTCTCGTCACGCCTCTTGCTGTGAACAGGACCTCAGCCAGCAGGTCTTCGATGAGGACGCCCCTTCGGGTGCCGCGCGGGGCCGGCGGAGGCGGAGGCAGCGCGGCGGCGAGGGAGACGACGATGGCGGCGGAGAGGAGGAGGAGGAGGCGGCGCCGGCGCTGCCCGTGTCACACCAGCTCGTGCTGTCGGCGCACGCGAAGACGGTGACATGCCTCGCGCTCGACCGCGCGGGCAACCGGCTCGTCACGGGCGGGTCGGACTCGGACCTCTACTTTTGGGACTACGCCGGCATGACGCGAGAGCTGAGGCCGTTCCGGCACATCGCCGAGCCGCTGGGCGCGTACCAGGTTCGCTCGATCTCCTACTCCCCAAACTGCGACCGCGTCGCGGTGGCGGGCTCGTCCAACCAGCCGGTCATCCTCGACCGCGACGGGCGCAAGCTCGCAACGATGATGAAAGGCGACATGTACATCCGCGACATGCGGCACACGCGCGGACACGTCGCGGCGTGCACGGCTGCGGCGTGGCACCCCTCGGAGCACGAGACGCTGGCGACGGCGTCGGAGGACGGCACTGTGAGGCTGTGGGACGTGGAGGTCGCCGCCGCGCGTGGCAACGACGCCTCCTCGCTCAACGTGCAGAGCGGCCAGCGGGCGGTCTACGTGCTGCGCGACGCCAAGGGCGTCAAGACGCCGTGCACCGCCGCCTCGTGGGCCCCCGACGGCAGCGCGATCCTGTCGGCCGGCCGCGACGGCTCGATCCAGCTGTGGGAGATGCGCGCCAAGCCATACCAGCCCGTGCAGCTGGCGATGCGCGCCACGCCGCGCTCCGAGTACATCGCAGACATCAGCAAGCCGACGTCTGCGGCGCGCGCGGCCCATGCGGCGGGAGAGGACATCTCGAGCCTCACGTGGCGGAGGGACGGCTGTGAACAGCGTCTCTTCACACCTTTTGCTGTGAACAGGACATCTCGAGCCTCACCTGGCGGAGGGACGGCGTCACGTTCGCCTCCCGCTCGACGGATGGGTGCCTCAAGCTGTGGGACACGCGGCGGCTCGACGCGCCCCTCGCCGCGTGGGGCGACTTGCCTGCGCTGCTGCCGATGACCGGATGCGACTTCTCGCCCGACGGCTCGGTGGTGGTCACGGGCACGTCCGTCAAGCGCGGCTCGGGCGCCAAGCCGACGCTCGCCTTCTTCTCGACGCGCACGCTGAGCCGGATCGCGACGCTGGAGGTTGACGGCGCGAGCGTGGTGCCTCTGCTGTGGCACCCGCGCCTCAACCAGATCGTGATCGGAAACGCCGACGGCAAGGCGTACACGCTGTACGACCCGACCGTCTCCGAGAAGGGCGCTCTCTTCTGCTCCGTCAAGGCGGCGCTCCTCCTCGCCCCCTCTCCCCCTCTCCTCCCCTCGCCTCCTCTCTCCTTTCCTCTCCTCTCCTCTCCTCTCCTCTCCTCTCCTCTCCTCTCCTCCCCTCCCGCCTCATCCCCTCCTCTCCTCTCCTCTCCTCTCCTCTCCTCGCCTCGCCTCGCCTCTCCTCACCCCTCCCCTCCTCTCCCCTCCTCTCCCCCCTCGCCTCTCCCTTCTCCCCTCCCCCCCCGCCCCCCCCACCCCTCCCCCGCCCCAACCCCCCCCGCACACACGCCTCAGTGTCCAGACCCGCCTCTGCCCCCTCGGCACCGCAGGCGGCGCCCAAGCGGGGGATGCTCTCCTACTCGGGGGAGGGCTTCTCAAAGGCGATGCAGATCATCACGCCGCACGCGCTGCCAATGTACCGCGAGGAGAACGACGACCACCGCAAGAAGCGCCAGAAGGACCGCGCGGACCCGCTCAAGTCGCGCAAGCCGGAGCAGGCGAGATATGGGGAGATGTGGGGAGATGTGGGGAGATGTGGGGAGGTATGGGGGAGATGGCTCAAGTCGCGCAAGCCGGAGCAGGCGAAGAGCTTCCGAGATGCGGTCGAGATGCGGTCGAGATGCGGTCGAGATGCGGTCGAGATGCGGTCGAGATGCGGTCGAGATGAGGCATGCTCGAGAGCGCGTCGCTCCCTGCGTGGCGCTCTCATCGCTGCTCCTCGCTGCTCCTCGCCGCCGCTCGCCGCCGCTCGCCGCCGCTCGCCGCCGCTCGCCGCCGCTCGCCACTGCTCACCGCCGCATCGCCTCTCACCGCCGCTCCTCACCGCCGCATCGCCTCTCACCGCCGCATCGCCTCTCACCGCCGCATCGCCTCTCACCGCCGCTCCTCGCCCGCAGGTGCTGACCGGTCCGGGCCACAACGGCAAGCTCAGCGTCGGCTACCAGCAGGCGCTGCTCGCGACCATGTCTGGAGGCACGCCCGGCCTCCCCCGGCACCCGGGACACGTCCACGACACGCCGATGACACGTGCGGGACGTGTCTGTAGGCACGTCCGGCCTCACCGGCACAAAGGACAAGATCGCCGCCTTCCAGAACGAGGACCCGCGCGAAGAGCTGCTCAAGTGCGCGCGAGAGAGGGGGAGGGGGAGAAGGGGGGGGGGGGGGGACTGACGCCGGGCGCCAGGGGGGGAGGCTGTCCCGGGGGGGGGGGGCGGGGGTCACCTTATTCAGTCCCGTGTGCTGAGGGGGCGGGGATCCTCTACTCGCCCAGGATCATGCGGTATGACGCCCTCCCCCTCTATGTGCCAGGCGAG